CTTCTCTGGACTAAGGAGAAACTCTTTATCTTCCTTGTACTGTTTGAGGAGAGAGTTGCTGCAAGGGGCGCATAAGCTTCATCTCTTTCAGCCACCCGAGGCTGAGCTCCGAGCGCTTACCATCTGTGCTATACAGGTCCAGCGTTCCCCCATCGCTTTCCTCCCAGGGTGGCACGAGGTACAGGATGAAAGCAATCCTCCGACCTTCCAGCTCGTCATCGTGGCACAGCAAGACATCTGCAATTACACACGTTTTGCTGCTGTAGCGCCTTTCCAGTACACGCACGATTCATTGCCAAGACTGCTTCCCAGCTTCGTCCCCGCAAGGATACATCAAGAAAAAACCACGCCCTTTCCAAGAACTGCATTTTCACTCGTCAGCATCACCAGCCCAAGATTTGCAAGATTAACTTCTGCGGGATTGCACCGCAAACGGCAGATTAGCCCACTCTGAAGGTACAGGCAGTTACAACTCGTCACTCACCCCCCCGCGGCTGCCACTGGGCACAGTGGACAGAGACTCCCGACTTAAATAACCATTCAAGCTCTGACTCCTAAATACAGAGCTGCCCTTTGAGTAGGTTTGTTGCTGGAATAGAGGGGAGGGGGAGCCCTGGGAACAGAAAAGCTGGACCACCAACTGGTTGTGCAAAAGACTTTTAAAAAGTAGAGCTGACAGCAGTAAAAATTTTCCCCCTTCCTACAGTGATTTTTCAGGACTGAAAGGGTAGGTGCAGTTGTAACCTGGACTCATCAAGGTGACATTTTATCATCAGGCTTCACAAACTCAACTGTAGCATTTGGAAGCTGAACACGTCACCCTTTTGCATGGAAGCAGGCGTGCAAACACGGGCTGCACACCTCCAAAAAGGTGGGGGCTTGCAACAGCACTGGGCCCAGTTAAAGCCACCAGCAACGGAACTACAGCAACAGTATTTCCATCATTTATACTTTGTTTTCTGAGACTTTGATTTGCTGCTGATAGCTTCTAGGACCCTCTGGAACTAGAAAGGGGTTGGGGTGGGTTATGTACTTAGGTATTCTGTAGACATTTCCTTTCCTACACACCCACAGAAGCTTTAGGGAAAGGATTGCTTATAGACTGACCAGTATATTCATATTTAGCACAGGAGATGTCAACAGTTGGCTCCAGCTCGATCTGGGTCACAGCAGAAAGCCACGCTCGGAATTCTTCACACAGGGCATGCCTGTGAAGACACACATGAGGTAAGTGTCCTCCAGCGTTATAAAACATATGACTACAGCCTAAACTAATTTATTATCTCCCTTCCAACTATTCAAACAGTTAAAGGTGCTGTTGCGGCCAGTGACGGTGTATTCCTGTAGAACCACGCAGGGGCCGGCCAGGAAAACGGCGCAGCATGTACAACATCGCTGACAATAACCGGCAGCGAGTGTGAAAGCAGTGGCGAGGGGAACAGGTCGGCGGTTCAGAAGTGTCGGATACACGAGGGCCGAACCAGATCGCGCCGCTCGGAGGGAAACGGCTAACCCACTTCAGGGCCACGACCTGCCTAAGGCAGACTCGGCTCTTCAGGTCCGGTTTCTGGCCCGGCCGTCGTGGCGGAAGGCGGCCGAGCGCCGCCTGGCCCACCCCGCTGCCCTCGCCTCCCCAGGGGAGCCGGCCAGGGCTCTTCCCCTCGCACCCGGAGCT